GCTATGCGTGCTCTAATGGTACTTGTCTAGCGCTTACTATGAGTCGTAAGTAATCTTTTCCGTCGGGTATTTTCATGGTGGATTTATTGAATTGTTGATTTAAAAACATTATTTTGGCGTAATTTCACAGAATCAACGTTTTTTTTGCTGTTTTGGTAGCTTTTTTTGCGGGCTGATGCTCAATTTCAAAAAATATCTACAGATCTCTGCATGAATGGAGCAGCACCACGCGGCACATGCGATAGCGATGCCGCATGCCCACCACAGTACCGTTGTAATGCACAATCGCTTTGTTGTCCCCATACTAACGGTGTGTATTCCCGTAATTTACCCACTTCTTCAATTATTTATCAATCTTCTTTTCCCCTCAAATAACAAGTTATCCTTTTCATTAACCTCATGTTATCCTTATACTCAAACTCAGACTAACCTCATGATATAACTTCCATTTTCTAGTTTATTGTAGTGCTAAATATCAGTGTGATATCAGAAAATGTCCACCAAATCAATTTTGTTCTCCACTAACGCAGTGTTGTCGCCCCTTAATTAGTACGAAACAGCGTTACACCACATGCGATTCATCTCTGCCGTGTGCATCGGACCTCATTTGCTCAGAAGGACGTTGCATAGCAAAAGAAGACCAGTCGGAATCGACTTCAACCAGTAAGTTGTTCCATTTGAATGCAATTGTATCGTTTCGACAGTTTAGATGAGTTCATCTAGCACCGTCTTCTTTGTGAGATAATTGAGCATTGGCTTTTGACGATCACATCAGATCATAGAAAGATGAGGAATGTTGAGCAAACGAAACAATGAGCACAAAAATGATAGCTAATCGAGGAATGGAGTGTATTTAAGGGCGGGTGAAGTGTGGTCGAATGATATTTTTCAATAGTTAACTAATCGTAAGAGTGATTGCTAGGAAATCTAGTGGAAAGCAGACACTGAGCAGCAGTTGCGAAATTGAGTTGGAATAGGTATAAGCGAATCAATCCGAACAAGTTAGAGATAAAATGATGGCGCGGAAGAATGCGTGATATTGCTTGTGAGATATTGAGCACTTCAAAAGTTGGTAATATTTAACAAGACGACATCGTATGATGGATGTATATGTGGTTACGTTGTATTAATGGGTGAACAACTCAATTGCGAATGAGGAAGTTTTCTCTTGATGTGCATTGTATTTGTGCACAAATAGATAAAAAGATGTCATTGGGTTAAGTATTTTGTGAGTAAAGAATGAAAATTAGT